CCCCTGGTACGCCTTTTCTTTTATCCTCACTAACAATTTATTAATCACTGGTTATTGGTTTATTGTTTAGATACTTAGCAGCGAATCTGGTAATTTACCTGTTGCAAGTGGGATCATAACGGATATAAGTCAATCCCATGTTTCTGTAAGGATAATATCTGCCATGTTTCCTGTTCATCTGTACTACTGTAAGCTCAAATCTGGCGTTTTAGTGCTTACCTGACCTTTAAGCGGATGTGCTAATATAGCTGATGAATGCTACAGTGGAAAATCTTAACTTACTGATCAAATCAATTTTGTAAATTCTAATATTTTCTGCAAAACTCTAGGTTTCTTTCTCTAAGCACTTACGACTTCCTTGGAGCAATCCTTCTTCAGAGGCAAGTGATCTCCTTCAGGAGGTCTGGCGTGTTGACAAAGATGATTTTGTGACATCATTTTCAGTTATGAGGTAACACACTCCTGAACCTTTCTGAGAAATTTCCATATCCAAACTTTTAGAGTACTTCTCTGACCCTGTCTAAGTTCATGCTTTTGTTGCTGAAGGTTTAACCTTGTTCAACTTTTTCTTCAAAGTACACAAGCTGCTCACCTTAGAAAGATGATTGTTGACCTAGAAGTGAGTTTTAGTGAATTGTTTTCCATCAAATTAACCATCTTTTGCTAATTCTAACTCGCTTTTTTGTTGTTCGACATGTGTGGATTCTTTTTAGGCTCCTAGGTTTGACAATGGGTCTCCACTAAGCCAGGATCCAGCAATATCCTATGTCTGGTCCCAGAGAAATTTAAATGATGATCAGCGTCGAGCCATTCTCAAGGTTTTCTATACGTTTATCTTTTTTCCATAATACTTATGATGTCTTCCTGCAGAAAGTCTCTACCCAGAGGCTAAATTTGTTTGACACTAATCTTTCAGTTATCTATTGAATGTTGACATTTACTAATTCAACAAATATCCAGATACTTACAGCAAAGGACTACGCTCTTATACTAGGAATGCCTGGAACGGGCAAGACATCCACCATGGTGCATGCTGTGAAAGCTCTGTTGATTAGAGGTTCATCCATTTTGCTTACGTCCTACACAAACTCCGCTGTTGATAATCTACTTGTCAAATTAAAGGCTGAGGTCATATCTCTATTTCACATCCATTGATAAGCATATTCTTTCTATTATTATTTGTTCTTGTGCATAGCAAATTTTTTCCACCATTCAATCTAATGGGCTGCAGTTACCATTCACTATTGGGCACAAAGTTGATGTCTCTTTTCGTTCTATATTTGTGGGTGTATAGTTTACCCATTTTTGAGGTACATATCTTCTGTGAAACACTCCATTGGGTTTTTTTGTATTGAATTTAAAGCATGGCAGGATATTGATTTTATACGAATTGGAAGACATGAAGCTGTGCATGAAGAAATTAGAGGCCATTGCTTCTCAGGTCAGATTTTAAACTATTGAGAGAATTTTCTTCAGTATCTAACTTAATTCTCAACATATTAACGGTGGTTTCTGTGACAGAGATGAACATTCAAACTGTGGAAGGCATTAAGTTAATATTAGACCAAGTCAAGGTGGTTGCCGTTACATGCTTGGGGATCACCAGCCCCTTGCTTTCCAATAAGAGATTTGATGTATGCATCATGGATGAAGCTGGACAGACCACCCTTCCAGTACGTACAATTTCTGATGGATATCTTGACCTGCAGTTATTGTTTATGTAACTAGAGGCAGATGTATATTAAGCTATACCATTGAGAAAGTTAGCAAATATGTGGTGAAGACCAAAATGTAGTACTTAATGATTTGGTAGTTAATTCATTGTCAGTGGTTAAGTTGAACTCATCGAATTATCTTTCCCTGATGTTATGTCATGTTGCAAGTATAGATTTATAATAAAGTAAAAAATCTATCTAATGTTGTTTTGTGTGTTAATTAGTCGGAATTGCGCTTAGATGGGTTGAATTTATATTCTCTCTTTTAGGATTTTGTTTAGCTTTAAATGAAAGTTGAAGTCACTTGTTTATTCAGAACCTTATCAAAGGCAGTGGATTCATGAGCAATTTTCTGTTGTAACAGGTATCTCTTGGCCCTCTGATGTTTGCTTCAAAGTTTGTCCTGGTTGGCGATCATTATCAATTACCTCCTCTGGTCAAGGTGTATATCACTGCATGCCTGTAGGGTTCTAATTGGTTGTCACGCTCTGAACTGTGGCTTAATGAAATGCCCTATGCTTTTTTATTTCCAGAGTACAGAGGCTCGAGAAAATGGAATGGGGGTAAGCTTGTTTTGCAGGCTTTCAGAAGCGCATCCTCAGGCAATTTCAGCCTTGCAAAGCCAGGTTATTATATTCATTTGCTATTGTATATAAATTTTGGCACTCTTCTGTAGAAGTGATATTTACCGAACTGTTTGCATCCAGTACCGTATGTGTCGAGGCATTATGGAACTGTCAAATGCCTTGATTTATGGTGATCGATTGCGTTGTGGCTCTCCTGAAATAGAAAATGCCAAACTCAAGGTTTCAAGTTCAATATCTCATTCATTTTGGATACAGGAGGTGAGAGCAATTTTCAAGGGAATCCCATATTTCTATTGAAATGTATAAGTTTATTCATGATGTGCACTTGCATAAAGAAGTATACCTATATCCGTGTTCGTTCTACTCATAAGCGGTAGTAGTAGATATATTTGATAACAAAATTCTCATTCAGTTTATAGCACCTTTCTTCCGGATAAATCCATACAGGTTATCTTCCGTGTCATGTTATGGGCATTGGAAACTATTGATATATAATGTAAAAGAATTATGACTTGATGTTCATTACAACCGGTTAGCATGTTTAAAAATTAGATTGTGCTTAGGGAAAACCGATTTCCAATTTGGTTGAATTCATGATGATATGATTTTGTCACAGATTGGATTCAAGTGAATTGTTTCACATTTTATGGCTTGTCGAAAACTTGTGCAATGAAATTGTGGTTTTGTTCAAACTTTGATGCATTTTTCATGTGTTTTAAAACTTGGTTGCAGGTTATAAACCCAAGCAAGCCAGTTATATTTATTAATACAGGTTTGTTGAGGTACTATTATCTGTTTTACATAATCTGTTCTTCTATATAAGCAGTGTTGGTTGTTTAATATAATCACTTTTCGGAGTGTAGATTCTTTACCTGCTTTTGAGGCAAAGGATCACAAGATTGTGAGTAACCCGACAGAAGCTAACATAATTGTACAGGTTAGATCTTCGCTTGAATATATATATACATAACGCAATCATCCTTTTTCCCCAAGAAAATATCTTTCTGATCTAATGCAAACCGTTGAAGTAGCTTGTTTTAGCTAAATAAAAATTTCATTTTGCTTTTAGGTTGTGGAGGGACTAGTCAAGAGTGGAATAAAGGGGGAAGATATTGGTGTCATTACCCCATATAACTCCCAGGCTGAGATCATCCGGCTTGCCCTCAGCCGCCTGACCTCTGTCGAGATACATACCATTGACAAATACCAGGTCTGGGTGAAGGATTTCATTTTCTATGCCGATGTTATTGTTTTCTTTGTCTAACTATTCATATCTTTGAAAGCAGAAGGATGACATGGTTATATCTAATTTCAGTTGTCCTTGTTTTTTATCCAGGGAAGAGACAAGGATTGTATACTAGTGTCCTTCGTTAGGTCAACGGAAAATCCCACGAATTGCTCCTCCTCGCTGCTTGGAGACTGGCATAGGATTAATGTAGCTCTCACTCGTGCCAAGGTAAGAATCACATGAGTTTGGCCTTCTCATTCGATCATGTTCCGATGTGAATTTGGAGATTTTCTTAAGTTTTCGTAGTGACCAAACTGAGTAACATGTTTTTCGTTTGATTTTGGTTTGCTTCTGTAGAAAAAGTTGGTAATGGTTGGATCGTGCAAAACCCTATCGAATGTTGTGCTGTTGAAGCTTCTTATCGAGCAAGTTGAACAACAGTCGGGCATCTTAAATGTATCGAACAAGGATATTAAGCTTAAAGGAGAGTTAAAGAGATGCTCTCAGGCTCAGGCAAGATAGATGATTGATTAGTGGCTGTACATATGCTGCTGATGTATCTGTAGTAAGCTTGAAAGTTGTACATATAGAAACATCACTCTCTCTCTCTCTCTCTCTGAGGCATTTTTTCAAGATTTAGAATTATAGGCCACTCGACGCCTCCATGATTGCTCAAACCGCCACTTAACGCCTCCATGTTTGCCCAAACCGCCCGTGAATATGCTCGGAAACCACCTCTAAATTCCAAAAACTTGGGATAAAACCCTGGTATTTCTCTCCAGCATCGGCACAAAAATGATCATGTCAAATCTCTTTTTGTGTTCTAGTCACGTACATGACACATCCCCCAAGCACAACATTCTCATTTGAAATCTTAAGCTGCAAATTCTTTACTTTTACTCTTTCCCTCGGACTCTTCAATGCAACAGGGTCCCTCTTTTACCCATGTGCGAGTGAGTGCCTGAGTCTATAGCATAATTCTACACTAAAAGTAGCCAACGAGGTTGGCTTTGCTGGTAAGGTCACTACCTTGTCTGTCGCCCCACCAAGGTTTGAGTCTTGTTGCCAGCAATCTTTGTTGATGCGCAATTTGAAAATTCCTACGTAAGTCCGTTCCTATGGCAATTGGCAGTTAGGTGCCATGTGTTAGTCATTCCAGCTCGAGGTTGTGAGTATGCCCTGGCATTGGTGGTGAGAGTAATCAATCTTTCCCTAAACTTTTAAGTTTTTTTATAAAAAAAAAATGCAAAATAAAAGTGGAAGTGGAGTGGAAGGGGTTGGTAGCTCTACTGACAAGGATTCTGAGTTCGATTCTTCCTTTCCCCATCACTTGTATCAGTGGTGGAGTGCATCCGATCTCCTAAGCTATCATTTTACTTTATACAAATGATATTCTAAGTTGTAGAGAGGAAAATTCAAACGCAGGTGCATAAAGAGAGCATATCTCCTACACCCACATATGCCCCAACCATCACTTAGAAGTCAAATTTTATAAGGCAAACACAGATGAAGAGTATTTGACTATGAAGACAATACGATGTAACTGGAGGGGCACACCTATCATAAGGCAAATACAGATGATGTTTTTTATGTCTCCAACAGTTTCTTTCACTTGCAATTCTCCAAAATTCAGGTGAATTTCAGTTACAAAATCTATCTTCATTCTCCACACAAGCACAATAGTAGTGAAAACAATCATAGAGGCACTGATCCGTAAAATACGACTTCAGCTGGGCCTGTCATGTAGATGTGATTGTTCTCCTCTCTCCACTCAATCTGCAATGGCCCCCCCGGTAGATCAACCGTGCAGTTCTATGTCCAAAAGATAAGCATACAAAAAGATGAGCAAAGAGGAAAGCAAGTAAAAAAAACTAGGGTAACGATTTACCGATAAAGCAAGAGGTAAAAAAAGAAGAAATTTTGTGATTTAGTAATTTGATTGAAATGACATGGATAGAGACAGACAACATTCACTTCTCAACAAATTATATCCGTAATTAAGTATTATTAAAGTTGGGAAGTAAAATGTTGCACACTAAACTTTCCTCACATTATCTTTACAAAATCATGTGGCTTTTGCATGGAGGGTACTGCTTATAGTTATGTGCAGCTTATCACGCTTCTAAAATTGACCAACGTAACGTGACAATGTAACACATAGTAATGTGGATTCATAAGATTACTGAAACTATAAGTATAGTATGTATAGCATTACTCTTCTGTCTTAAAATTGAACACTAAAAACTGATAGACGAAAGGGGAATAGTTTTATTTTCATGTGAAATAGATAAACCATCTATATTAATTTTTTTTTTTTTTTTAATATATCCAACATAAAAAAAGAAGAAAGCCAAAACTTACTCGCTCAGCACGACCCTCAAGAACTGCGGCAACCACTACAGCACAAGCTCCAGTTCCGCAAGCAAGTGTTGCTCCTATAATGCAAAATAATTATACTTCCCATTAAAACAAACTCAAATGGTCTCGATATCAGATTACAGTATAATAACTTCTTTTGGTTGCAACAGAACTAACCTGCTCCACGCTCCCAAACACGCATCTTTAGGTGCGAACGAGTGAAAACTTGCACAAATTCTGCCCATCAGAATCAAATCAGAGTTGTGAATACAAAATATGCTTAAGAATAATTACAAAATTTGAGACTTTAACGTTCACGAGACAGGAACAAAGGATCAAACAAGTTTGACTGAACAAATAATTTATTAACTGTATTTCAATATGCTAAGTGAGAGTGAGACAGAAGCTTGAAGCACCCATTACCATATTTGGATAGATATTTTATCACATAATTTCTTTACAAATTTGAGGCATTTCAGACCATAGAAGTTCTGAGTAGTGTTTCCAATAAATATACCAATCTAATTTTGTAAATTCAAAAAAAAATGTGTCACACAAATTTTTGAGTACATCCTTTTCAACTTATATCTCAAAATGGCCACCACCAGTAAGAAATACACCAACAATTTTAAACCGAAAGATATCAGAAATTTCAAAGTTCAAAGTAATGCACTGTCAATCTTCATTCACTGTCAAAAGGTGTAAGCAATGGACAATCACCAAAGAAGAAAAAACCCATGATCTGTAGCATGTAAACTGTGGTCTTACACAAACAATATGCCAACTCTAACTGCTTCCGGAAACAAAAGCATGTCCATAGACAAATAAATTCTAACCTGTGTTAGTTCGTGCCGGAAACACCTCATGATTCTCAAACTTGGGGCCAATTTCAGCCAACTTCAATTCATCAACCTTCAAATTCTGTTCAATTCCAACAAAAAGCAACAAGTCACAGGCAGAAATGACGGATATTTCTGGGTAGTCCTTCTAGGAAAGTTTCAATGATTTGAAAAGGACGTCATATGCTGGACTGGAAGAAACTATTAATCAATTATAAACAAAAAATTGGCTTTATTACGCCCAGATTAGGTCATTCATTGAGCAGAGTGAATATCTCTCAAATTATTCCAGCAATAATTACCTGGCCTCCTTCTGTACCAAAAGTTATGCAATGAGGATTTCCCATACTAACACAGGTTACATTCCAGGTTACTCCATCCACATTCAGACCCAACTTAACGACGGATTGATCTTTGTTTGCAGGCAGTCTTGTAGGTACGTCTGAAGCCTTAAGAATTGGTTCCCCCATATCAACTTTAACCTGTAATTCTTAATGTCCACTAAAGTGAAGATGAACATCCAATATATAACGCATGACAGAGCACCAGAGCAACAATGGACATTGTTACAATATTTCATAAGTCACGTCACATGCTTTGCAAAATGTTTGATGTGCTCAAAGTATCTCAATCTGAAATAGTTTATTTGAACCGAAACATAATACAAACAAGAATTTACCTTCCCATCTTCTTGAATTTCCGGAACAATTAGACCAGCACCAGTATGTACCTTAAAGCTGCAATTGTTCACACAGACTGTTGTTGTCAGAAATTTACACACCTATCACTTCTCAGTGCAAGACCGAATAGATATTTATTTCAATGTTAAATGCAACAAAAACTAAAGCACAATGTAATATATAACCAAGCATTGATAAACGAAAATGTTTATCAGTATATGGAACCAGCTTTACCATACCTATGCCGTCCCTGCAAATTCTCGAGCTCGGCAATGAATCTGGCAAAACACCGGACTCCATTACCACACATCTACAAAACACAATTTAATATCCAATTTCACAAGTTTGAAACACCAATACTACCATTCAATACAATGCAGCAATCAACTATCCGCATAAAATTTAAAGCATAGAAAACACAAATTTTCGGGAAATACAAGTCACCTCGGGCTCGCTCCCATCAGAATTGTAAATCCTCATTGTATAATCAGTGCCGTTGATGCCCGGCAGCGCGAAGATCACTCCGTCGGCGCCAATCCCAAAGTTCCGATCACACAGCTTCGCCGCCCGCTCCGGACTGATTTTAGGCTCCGAAGAATCTCTGTTATCAACCTATCACTCACAAAACCAAAAAGAAAACTCAAAATCCAAACAGCGTATCGATAACATCTAACCATAACTTCTTCTCAGCTAATTAAGTTGAAAATTTTGAAAAAAAAATTCCAACATTTCAGAGAAATTGAATACCAGGATGAAGTCGTTGCCGAGGCCGTGGTACTTGACGAAGTGGAGGAATCCGGATTCTATGCGGTCGAGAAAGAAGGCGGGGGAGGCCTTCTCGACGGATTCCACGCTCATGGAACATGATACCGCCGACTCGCGAAGACTAGTAGCTCGCGGCGAGGCAGCTGCATGGAAAGAGTTGAGCTTTAGAATCGGAGAAGAAGGTCGAAGAGAGGCGGTGAAGAATGTGAGGGAGCGGCGAGTTGGGGAGGTGAGGTGCAGTGAGATGGTGGCGGCTATGGCTCCCATGACTTGGCGGTCGGCGCAGACGCTGTAAACGGAACCAGATGTTTGTTGTTGACTTGCTGTTGGGTCGTAGGGCAATGTGTTCAATTCAACATATGCATGAAGAAAGTTAATGCTCCCAAATTTCTAAACCAAAGTGGCCCTAGGTTGTCAAGCCGCGTAGGTTTGAATTCTGTCTGGGCTATATATTAAACTAAACATACACTCCTTTTGAAAATTTAATCAAGCATTTTCCTAAAATTTTAGTTATTAATTTCAGTTTTTCACACAAGTTTATTTTGTTCCTAGACATTTCGTGTTTTTATCCCCCTCTCATCCCTATATTTATGCATTTATTATCCATCTCTGTACATTTTTTTTTATTGTTTGTTATAATTTTACTTTTTTTTTTTGTGAATATAGTAGAATATTTATATAAAAAAAAAGGTCAAATTTTATTATTTAGAAGATCCAACACATAATAAAGATTTGTTTGATTATATAGCTACATCTAGTTACCTATAATATGGACACATTTAGTTTTATAGTGGATTTGATTTTTTTGTATTTCTCGGTACATTTGGAATGTAAATGTACCAAAAGAGTTATCAGATAGAGACATTTGGTTTTGTGGTACATTTGTGATTTTTTGTTTATTTGATCTTTTGGTACATTTTGAATCTAAACGTATCAAAATGGTTACCTAACGATGGGCACATTTGAAATCTAAACGTATCAAAAATGTTACATAACAATGGGTACATTTGGTTTTATGGTACATTTGAATTTTTGGTACATTTGGTTTCTCGGTACATTTGAAATCTAAACGTACCAAAAGTCGATACTTTTGTTCTCAAATGTACCATAATTTTTAAGTATATTTTTTATATATCTATACGTGAAAAAATATATATTGAAGACATTTTATTGAGACATTTTTAATAGAAAGAGATTTTTTTTTAAATGCTGATAATAAGGTAATGAGGAATTAGTTAGTTAATTTTTTATTTTATTTTATTAAAAAAATGTCATTTAATGTGTAGAAGGGGATTGACGAAATTAAATTCCTGTATTGTAAGCAATTAGTTGCTAAGTTACCTTATGCCTCTATATAAATGCATTTAAATTAATGACATGGAAATTAAATAAACAGAAAATTATTGAGGTGACAATTGATTAAAGCACCTTAATCAAATCTTTAAAAGGAATGAATGTTTAATCTAACAACTATAGAAAAGATGTAGGACATTCTAATTTACAAAATCTATCGTTTGATATATATAAAAAAAAAAAAGAAATCTAAACCAAAAATTTGGTTAAAAATTTCGTCTTTCTAACATGATTTAGGTTTAGGATTTGTCGGTTTTTCCTTACAATTTGGCTTGGCTTATCCTCACTGTAAATCCTCATTTTATTTTTAGTAAAGAGGATGAGAGAATTCGAAATTATTACAATAATTTAAAGAAAGAAGTTTTGAACTCAAGCTTATGGGTAGAAAGTAGAAACGACACTACTGTATTATGGTAATTAATATCAAATCAACAGTACTAAATTAAAAAAAATTGACACGTAATTTACATATATAAATGTACATATTTAATAACTTGGTTTGGTTCGATCCCAGTTTTGGGTTGTGGTCAACTAGCTTTATTTTCGGTTTTTTCTCATAGTCTGATTCGGTTTCTCAATTCGTCGGTTTTTTTTCCCACCCCTAGACTACAGGTAGCATATTGTGCTAGGTAGCAATGAGTTTAACAGTAAAGTTCCTTCAAACTCAATAATTTTCAAGGATGTTAGGGTTCTCACTATAAGTCGTGAAGGATTTTCATCACACAGATATACCATCATTGTGGCGTCCAATGCTAATAACACAACCTTAAAAATTGGAGACTTTTCATCAAAATTTCTAACTTGAGGCTGTTTTACTTGAATTCTAAGATGATTTTCTTCCTTTGGAATTCCAAAATGAGCTTAAAATTCTAAAGATAATGCGCAATTCACATCCACCAGATTTAATAAAAAAAAAAACAAAAAAAACAAAAACAAAAACAAATTTTATTAATCATTTAAATGTCGATTCCAATACAAACTTACATATACAGTTTCCCTTCATTCTTGGCTATGGCAACCCTCAATATGCAGGTAAACAAAAATACCGAAAAAGTAGCAACTCTCTAAGCCCCAGAGACTGAAGATCAGAAACGATCTTGGCCTCCGTCCGCCACTCCCGCCACTCTTCCCGAACGCTGTAAAATCCTCGTATTTCTCTCCCGCATCAGCACGAAAATGATTCAAATCTCTTCGTGTTCTAGTCACTTATATCACAGATATCCCTCAAGCACAACATTCTCATTTGAAATCTTAGGCTGCAAATTCTTCAGTTCTACTCTTTTACTCAGACTCTTCAATGCAACAGGAAAGTTTCCGACATCATTTTCATCCCACAGGGGCAATACTTCTACCACAATTTTTTGCAACAAATTCTGTTCAATGCCGTCTTGGAGAAGCTCTTCAAAATCACTTACGTTTCCCTTTAAATCGAACAAAACACTACATATTCCTTGAGAGTTACAGTATTCCAAAATAGCACTTAAGCTTATTTGATCGAACACCACCGTTTCAATACCTGTTTGAGCTCTTTCTAGTTCTACTGATGTCTCTTTGTCTGCAAAGACTAGTAGCTTATCAGTTGGTTCCACGGTGAGAGCAGGGATTTGGATTGGAGAAGTACTATCCCTAGCTATTATAATCCGAAGTGGTTGATTGGCTCCAGCTTCTTGGGACGCTGGAATAGAGACGTTCTCCATTATTGCGGAAGAAGAAAGAATAACTGCATCATATTCCTGTAACAATTGTGAATAGTAACCACCAGACTCAGCAACTCCTTGTCCAAGTTGATCCAGAAAGTTTCCATTGACTGAGATGGAGTATCTGCTAACAAGAACAAAAAGGTCAAAGAACTCTCAACCTCACTCTAATCAAATACATCAAGGCATATACAAAACAAAAGTATCGAATAAGGTATCATTTGCACTCATTTTTATTGTCTTTACTATTGACTAATCTGAACAAAAAAAAATTTACCGGATAGTGATGAAAGGATTCCCCGTTAGCATGCGATGGATATAAGCCTCATTTAGCCTTTTGCATAGTTCTTCTTCTACACCCGTAGTAACATCAATTCCAACATCTCTTAATCTATCCAACCCCTTTGATGCCACGATTGGATTCGGATCCACCATTCCAACCACCACTTTTTTCACTTTGGCTTTAATTAGGGCCTCGCTGCATGGTGGTGTTCTCCCATAGTGATTGCACGGTTCCAAGCTCACATATGCTGTTGCATTTTCAGCCAAATCCCCAGCATCTCTCAGAGCAAAAACCTGTAACATTTGACATTTTGACTTCTTGATCTAAGTTTACATTAACAGCTACTTATCAAGTTCATGTACAACAACAGGTAAAATTTGGCAAATTGCATGATAATTACGAAATCAATTATAAAACTCTTAAGAAAAAACCAGAGAAAAAAAAAAAACCAGAAAGAACAGAACCATACGGTCCACAATAAAAGTTGAAGGACTCGGCATCTAGGTATTTACTTTCCCTTCGTTTAATTATTTTTGTGATCTTTCCAAAATATTTTAACTTGTAAGCAACCAACCAAAGAGCAAAGCGACCGAAAGTTTCAACCACTTCATTAAAACTAAGGAAAATAAGTATACCTCAGCATGCGGCTGGCCAGCTTTTGGGTGAAAGCCTTCACCAACAACCTTGCCATCCTTGACAATAACACAACCCACCATAGGATTGGGGCTGGTAAACCCGATAGCCTTTCTTGCAAGCTCTACACACCTCCTCATATAGAACCCATCATCTGCACCCGCTTCTTGTGCCACCCCACACGTGACCCCAACAGATTTACCATGACTTCTCAAACCATTTGGTGATTTGGACATCCTTCTGAGTGGATTGCAAAACCCAGAATTTGAATTTGGATTCGACCTCAACAGTTTACTGGAAAGTTGCTGTGGTAGCGAGACAGTGGGTGGACTGAGAGTGTAACTCTGGAGTGAAAGTGTTTGAACTTGCATTTCTTTTGTTTGTTGTACCCAGATCACATCACTGCAATTTTCGCAAGAATGTTTAACTGTCTGCAACTCACCGAACCTGCACTCAGGAATAGTAATGCTTTGAAAACGCGTGATTCAAGTCAATCTCGGTCTGCTTCCACTCTCTAAGGTCTACTTCTTCACTGTAAGAAGCGCTCAGTGTACATTTTCCGTTCTTTCAGTTTCCTAGAAACCGTGTTTCTACTAATGTAAATAAATCAAAAACTAAAAGAAAAAGAGTGGAACCCCAGATAAACAACGGATATATGCCCTATGGAGTAGTAGCAAGCCTCTCACACGCTTACTACGAGATCACTTGCGCATTTCATCAAACACATTGCGTTCAACATAAACAAACTGTCAAACGCACATATAACGCGCTCTGGGCTATGCTTACAATGTGGAAACAATCAATCAAAGACACCAACTTACTTGTTTTCTTTATTTTTAGTGCAACTATATAGTTTACACTAAGAGAATGAGGAAGTTCGGCTAAAGCTACAATGGGTAACTTATTTAGTACTGAATTCGTTATTAACGAGATTCAAAGTTAAGACTTCTCACTTAAAGAGTATTAACAAAGAGAGGATAGCAAATCGTTTACCTGTGGCTGTGGGGGAATACAGAAATTACACAAAGACTTGGAATGGTGGGTGCAAATGCTTGTCAATCATTTCCTTCAAAATGTTAAAATGGGGCAGAATTTGGAAGAAATTGTTGGCTCGTACTGGCAGGATACCAGTCGCTCAGAGGAAGTAAAGAGAAAAAGATAATATATATAATCATAAGAGGTGGTTCGGTATGAGATCCTAAATTGAAAATTTTTTGGAATGGGAATTCAAAGACCAATCATGAATCAAAATTTCGATATTCCCAAATTTTGGGAATTTTGAAATATTTTTGGTATTTCAATATGGTTTGGTATTCTCAAATTTCATACAAATTGAAATAGCAATCATTCATACTAAGTTAAATTAACATGCAATCAAAATAAAATAAGTAACAAACCCAAAAACAAAAATAATAAGTTACAAAACTAATATGTTCGAAAACTAACAACACAATTTTTTGATTTCGTGTTGAAGAAATAGACACATTTGTGGAAGGTTCGTATCAATAAATGTGGGATAAAGGGCTATGGTTACTACCTTAGACCACACCAATTATATTGTGACTAATAGTTAGCAACAATTCAAATGTATAATGATACATATATAAATACATAATATATATATATATCATTTATTTTCGATTCGGTATGGGATTACATAAAAATTGAGTGGACAATACCAAATCCCATAATGAAATTTTGAGATCATTTCGGTATTTCATGCCCAAAAATTTTAAGAATTCTGGTTTGGGACTTTCTTAGTTTGGGATCGAGATTTTTTTGGTTTGGTTCCGAATTTTCGGGAATTTTTTTCCAACCCTATGCCCATTAGCCGCCCGCTAAGTCAGACAAAAGAATAGGTTTTCTTGGTGTTGGTAAGAGCATATCCAAAAGAGATGTCAAAATGTCCACATAGGCTATAATAGTAAAAAAAGGACCACAATATTATTCTCCAACCGAAATGCCAATTCCTATGTGGCGATGACATGAATTGGCAGCAAGGGGGTTGCTGTCAATTTTGATAGTAGCTTCAAATATTTTTTTTTTATTTTTATCTCCTTGCCTTCTTCTTCCCTTTTCTCAAAACCAAACTCAGAAATCAACCTCACGATCACAATCTAAAACATGGTGAGGAAAGTGGCTGGGTTAATAGGAATTTCATTTTATCGATTCGCATCCTCAAGATCAAGAACAGCTACAGGGATTGAGATCGGGCTCCTTCTTTGTGTTCTGCGCTTTCTAAAACACAAATCACAGTCAAAATTAATCTTGTGCAAAAAAATCAAGAAACCCTAATGACCCAAATCCAATTTCAAAATTAAATCTTGTCCAATTTCTAGAACGTCATCTTCCTAGAAACCTTGAATTTCCACCCACCTCTCAGACTCTGACAGCTTTCGTTTTCAAACAACGCGATGCCGCAAAGGCCTAAAACTCTGTAGATCGTTGTGGAATTAGTCGGTCTCTATGCTCCCTTCTTCATCATGTCACGCTCTCTCTCCCTCCTTCTCTCCTCCCGCGAATCAAACAATCAAAGACTTCAGATTTGGAGTTGTTATTTCACTTTTAGAATATTTGCAATCTAATTCGAATAATTTGTATTATCAATTATTTATATATGTAAAATTAAAATATATAACATAATTATTAAAATAAAATAGTGTAATAAAATAATAGTTTAATTTGACATAGTCGGCCTCTATGCTCCCTTCTTCATCATGTCACGCTCTCTCTCCCTCCTTCTCTCCTCCCGCAAATCAAACAATCAAAGACTTCAAATTTGGGGTTTTGATTTCACTTTTAGAATATTTGCAGTCTAATTTGAATAATTTTTATTATCAATTATTTATATATGTAAAATTAAAAAATATAATATAATTATTAAAATAAAATAGTGTAATAAAATAATAATTTAATTTGACATATCGGGTTAAAATCAAAATTTTAAAAATTATCAAAATGTCACATTAACTGTCAAATTTAAAATTTATGTTTAAAATTTGGAGGCCTTATCAATGGTGGCCAAGCCAAATGTCAACGAGAAAATTGATGGCAAAGGTATGCAACAAGATTAAAGTAATAGTTTATACAAAAATCATAAAGTGTCTGAGCCCGGGTTCGAACCGGGGACCTCTAGTGTGTGAGACTAGCGTGATAACCGACTACACCACCCAGACTATTTGTTGATGACATCAGATTCAAGATATAAGTACGAACTTGTTTATTTTCGGATTTTTTCCGCAAGAGTTGAGACAGAATGAGTGCAGGGTCAGATCCTAATATTTCTGTTATTATTCCAGCTTCAAATCTCGTACCCTATTTTTGGGTTCACAAATTTCGTACTATATTATTAAAAACAAGGCGTCTATATCAAAACGTCCAATTTACTTTTCACACACACACATATATAATTGGTGTATAAATATCTAAGGATACGTGAAAATTTATAGTTATTCGAGTTTGCTCACAACCACTTTTGCATTTATAAGAATAGCGTTTCTACAGCAGGAAAAATTCTACGCCAGCAGCGGATATAAGGTAATAATCAAAACTTAATATGGGGTTATTAAGTCTAGTTAATCAGTTAATCTTTGTGATAAAATTTAAAAAAAAACTGTATACTTTTGTTTCTCATCAGGATGAGCTATTGTGGGCTGCTGCATGCCTTCATCGTTCTACTGATGATAAAACCTACCTGGATTATCTTGGCCAAGCAGGCAGTACTGGTGGTGCTACAACTTTGTTTGCTTGGGATGACAAGTTTATTGGCGCACAAGTCCTTGTTTTGGAGGGCAAGGTAAATTCTTCAGGTGCATGGGGACAATACAAGAGCCAAGCTGAGCAAGCCATTTGCTCTTGCATTCACAAGGGTAACAACAATGTGTAGAAGACGCCTGGTGGGTTGTTATGGTTTTTGCCATGGAACAATCTTCAGTACACTTCAACTGCTGTATTCGTCGCAAACGCTTATTCAGAATACTTGAACGCCAAGGTTGCCTCCATTCAATGCCCTAGCGGCATTGTCCAGCCTTCTGATCTTAATTATTGCCTTGGCAGAATCACAGGTATAAATACATCCATCCTTACTTGAGTTACTTCCATAAATAAATATTATGTATGCACATACGCACGTATTGACAACTTATACTTTGTTCTAAGATCATATCATTTATCTTCTGCATACCATACTTATAATAATAACACCACTTTTCTCTTAGTTAGAAGATATCAAAATCTCGTTCACGTCGAATTATTATGTTTTTGCTTGTTCTAACACTTTCACCAATTATAGTTCTCAATTTAAATGATGCTTATGGGTTTTGAAATTTTTTGTTCCGACTAATCGAAGCATAAACCCGCCATCTTTTGGAGAACCAAGTTCAACAACCCAAGAACATGCAGTGAAAGTCCAACTTAGCCTACTGCTTCACTCTAGCCCAACACTTGCCAGTTAGTTTCTCTTTTTCTTTTTATTTCCACATTTCTTGGTTTTTATTTTTATTTTTTCTGGACATTTAGATATTACACTAGAAGAGTCACTTTCAAGCTATAAATTTTGGCAACCTTGCACATGAGCTAACTCCACAACAAGGATGATAGCATGAAGCTCCTCATAGAAAGAAGTATGATGCCCAAAGCTCTGGGTGAAAACATCAAGAAAATAACTTGCAAAATCTTGGAAAAAGTTGCTTATCCAAAATTCCAACAGACCAGGAGTGAAACTCCAACTTGCCTAATCCAGGCTAAATTAGAACAACAAAGGCATACATAGGGAGGAGCCTTACTTTCAAGCTTCACTTTATTATGCATCTTCCAAAAAGCCATTAATAAGAAAGAAAGAAAAAACCTAATTCTAATCGGATATTGTAGAGTTGTGAAGAAATCGCTTTGACACAAAAATAAGCCATAAATTCGAGAAGGAACCCGTTAGCTAAACGACCATTAAAACTTGACAATCGACTTATATGGTTTTATGTTTGATGTTCAATCCCCTAAGCTAAGGGACTATTAAAACAAATTTATATACTTGCATGGTTTACAAAATTATACTTAGTTCTTCATTTTGTATAATTTATATACATACGAGCTTAAGAAAATAGAACATTAAAGCTTAAAGCTAGCCCAGCCTCTCAAGATTTTGTAACTCCGCCCTTGCATGGAGTGAAATATTCACACGTACTAACAAAAGAATTGCACGTTTGTACTTAATGTGCGTTTCATCTTTGAATTGTGGAACCACACAATAACTTTCTTAACAATAATGTTTTCTTTTTCTTTGTTTTAATAAGAGACCCATTTTTCTCTTAGACTGATCTCTTTCCCTCACCAAACACTTCATAGTATCAAACCAACAAAACACCAAGACCAACTAATTAAAATGCATGTATCATACGTGGAATGATAATATTCCACATGCATGTTACCATCTGTGTCGGAGAATTCCAAGGGGACAAAAAAATAAGTCATCTAGATTATAGATGATTGCAATTTTTTTTTAATAGGATAATGCATCTTTTTTGGAGAATGCACATATTTTATTTCTTGCAAATGATGTATATTCAAAGTCTAAATTTTATAATTAGAAACATTCAAATTTTTAATCTTCATTCGAAACTTATCCCTTTAAAAATCATTTGAATCGGACATCGTTTACTTATTCAAACGTAAAGAACAAATCGATGATATGTGTATCAAGTAACATATATATGATGAGCTATCTATTTATTAGATACATTTAGATAACTAAACAATCTCTTATTGGAATGATTTAGTAGAGATAATCTTCAAATTAAAATTAAGAAATTGAACAATTCTGATTATAGAGTTTATACAATACAAAAATATGACACACGCAAGGGATAAGATATGTGCACTTCCTCATAGAGTTTATTTTAATAACGCCACCTTATTAATTTAAGTATATATATTGTGTAGGCATCAATGACGCCTAATAATGCCACCTTATTAATTTAAGTATATATGTTGTGTAGGCATCAATGACTCCAAATTTAACTTTGTTTGAAAAGCCCGTGCACATTAATACTAACGTAGGATTGGTGTCTTGACTGTTTTTAGCGCGTAATATGTGTTGTTAATATTGCGAAGTCTCATTAAATAATAAGAAAAACTAATGAAAATAACTTGAAAATTTTGAGTTTTAACGATAAAGATAAAATAAAGGGTAAAGTGAATAGTACCATGATTTACTTTTTAATGTAAAAATGTGATTTTTCATTAAAATGAACAGTACCAGAGCTTTTCATTAAAGTTCCTTACATAATATACTTAATAAGGATCTACTTTGGT